TGTGCACGACACAGGGGTTTAATCGGCCCTAAATTGAAGCAGTGTTTTTTAAAACCCATCGCTTCAACGTAGCACCCCCGTTTCGTTTACACATGCCCTAAGAAAAGAAATGGAAGTTCTTGTTGTGCTCAACTGCTTTTCCAATATGTGAAAGTTGCACTGAGATTTCACTTGAGTTACTGGAACTTGAGGCAACGTGAGTCACAAAGATAATTTGTTTAGCACAGTGGAAAGTAGCTGTTAACTTTACTCTCCACTTGATCACTACTGGCAACTGCTACAGAGAAAACTGCTTGTTAATTAAGATGCTGCAGCTGCAAGCGTGGAGCAACACATAGCATTTGCCTCTCAGAGAAGCAGTAGGAAGAGTAAGAAAAGTAAGCAAAGCCAACAGTTTTGCCAAGTCTTACAGAACTTATAGCTTTAAAAAACTGGCATATTTTTTGAAGGACCAAGCAAGCCTTCATCACTTAAGTTACTCAAGGATGATTTCCAAACTTCAAGAGAGATTATGCAGCAAGAGAGAGGGACTGGAATAAGCATGTCCAAAACTGATACTGTGAGGAGTTCAAATTGACCATTGAGCAGCGTGGTTTGTTCTGCACTTTTGAGGAAGATGGGGTCATAAGCTAAAGATGACTACATGGAATTTTAAAGGGTGGGTCCGTGGAGAAAAATGATGGTAAAAATGGCGTTTGGGGTTCATTGTCTATTGAGTCTTAATACCGTATATATCAAATGTGCTCAGTTGATCTGTAAAAAAGATGCTAACTGAACGAATAAGCAGTACTCCAAGTTATATACAAAGTCAATAAAAGCATTCATATCAACAGCAATAGGCAGGTTAGCAAATTAAACTTCAAATTCAGGAAGCTGATTGATGGAATGTCACCTGGTCTCCATAGATATGCACCCTACGTGACATTCTACCATCTCAGGAAAGCGTCTGAAATCCCGATTGAAAAATAAAATGGAGTTGCTGGTAATCAGAGAGTTTTTTGCAAGTCAAGATGAGAGCAAAATGCTATATCACAGATGCTAGCACATATCTAAGCAAGACATTCAGACTGACTGTGAAACCCTCTTTCTGTACACATACTTTCATACATAATACACATCTGAGGAATCATGATGAAGCAGATACATGCAATGCTCTTACATTTCCCTGGTCCAAGAAAGATGCGAGTCAAATTTTCCAGTCTCTCAATGATATGTCAATTAGACTGTTTACATTCTTCTGTGCTAGACATAAAAGACAGTTGCAAGCTTCCAACAAAAATAGTGGGGGTGATGAAAGGACAAAGTCTTGCCCACTCGTAGACAAAAGTTATACTCCTGAGTAGCTAAAAATATGGAGGCAGAGACAGACTAGACTGGCATCAGAAAATGGGGATAGACTGAGATCTCATTTCATCAACTGCTCATGTTGCTTCCCCATAGTGTTGTGTGTTGGGGGATGGAGGAAGAGATCCTAGTCAAATGCAGCAGGAAACAGCTGTCCAGTCCTTGGTCACAGCTGTGCGCATCAATATTTGTTCCTCCAGGAGCTGAAGCAACTCTTGATTCAAGGAGGAAGGAAAGAGGACATCTCAGTCTGAAATACAGCATGAAAGTTCTGGAAAAGGGAGAAAGAATTAGGGTCAGGATTGACAGCTAAATCCAAATTGAGGTTTGGAAAACTGCATAACTACTTTCAAATAGCTAACAAGGCAAATTTCAGTAGATACAAGGTGACTTCCTTGGTCTGTTAGAAATCCCATGGACACTGGCTCTGATCCTTGTCAAAGCAGAGGAAGTCCTGCCAGCAGATGGGGAACCCATTAATCCAAAAGATTTTATCTTAAAGAACTCATACAAATAATTAACAATAATCAACAGTCGTCATGACTGTGTTGTACTTTTCCATAGCCTAGGGCAAACCTCAACTGTTGTTAAGCTCTCTTGTTCACAATTCAGAAGCTGGAGAAGTGATCACTAAAAGCGAGCTGAGATCCTGCAGTATGAATAGAAATACATTATTTTTATATTTCAAATCTGTAACAAGTGTTTTATAATTTCTCAGAAGAAACTAAAGGCCAAGATTTTTTTAGACACCTGAGTCTTCCTGCCATCCTTTCTTTGATCCAGACCAGTAAAGCATATTGTAGCCTTTGTAATTTTCTGCACAAAGAATCTTATTTTTTTAGAAGGGACTCTTCTTTAGTACTAAGAATTGCTTTAAAATTACTTAGAATGTCTTGGGAATTTGCAGAAATAACAATAGAAGATATTAAAGCAATTGTACCTCGCAGAGGAGGTAAAAGCATTTGTGCTTGAGGAAGACTCCAAAAAGGCTGTAAACCTTCCAAAAAATACCATGGCAAAGGTTCCTGGTAGATAATAATGTATGGCACAGTATGAAGAATCAGGGTGAATAAGGACAATACACATGCCTCTGGATGACTTCTTTAAAAAGGATAAAAGTTTACATTTCCTTGTAATTATACAATGTGCAATTTGCACTACAATAAATTCTGCAGGATGAGCAACATAATTCATAGGTGATTTTGATTAGAACATGGATGATTCTATGAATTCATGCAGAAGAATTAAAAAGTACCACAAAAAAAAGCACAAATACATGCACTTTAAAGTCAACTTACAACATTGTTTCGTGTCAAAAGTACAGTAAAATCTGTCATCTGATACTTCACCAAACAGAGTATTCTATTAACCAGAGTTTCTGGCTGGCCGGCTGGCTGTGTAGAGTGGGGAAAGCTCACACACAGCTGCCGCCCCAGCATCTCATGTTATCTGAAAACTCTGCCAGGTTATTTCAGATAACCAGAGTTTTTACATAACCGGCAATCCCAGGGGGAGGCCGGATAACAGAGATTTTACTGTACATAGCATTACTTAAAATAAATTAGTTAAAGGTGGACTATAAAACTTTTCTTCTTTGAAATCATTGTAGTAGTATTGGTATACAGCAGAGAATTGATTTTAAGTATACAGAAAAATACAGATGAATTTAGTTCAGTCTTTGAAACATTGTCCCTTGGTTTCAAAGTTTCAGGCTAAAATCTGAATTCTCACTCTTTCAGTTTTTGAAGCTGTACCATACAACAGGCTTCCAGGCCTTTTCCATATGAAAGTACCTACAATAGTTGGGGCCTGAAGTTGGAACAATTAAGTTCAGAAGGTTAGTGCCCATAGGGAAATGGCATTTATCATTCTTTCACAAAATATACAGTCTTCTGAATTCCCACATTCCATTGGTCATTTCCTGATGGGCTTGTCTATTCTTTCTGCCTTTTTCTTACAAAATCTGTCAGTTCTTGTATGAGAGATGGTCTGGCAGATTTTAAGGGCAGCTGAGAAGACAAACAGCACAAAAAACTTTCCTGACACTCATTCATTTTTTTTCTGATTTGTAGGACGATCTAGTACTATCCATGAAAAAAAATAAACAAAAAAAGACAAACCCCAAAAACTCCTTTTCAAAGATTAGCAGATGAGCCACCGAATTAGTAATTTATTACAGGGGAAAAAAGATACATCCTGCTATCATACCCTGGACTTGTAAAGAGTTAAACGTTAAGAGATGTTTTTTTCTTCCTTTAATCACTGACTTTCTAGAGCAATATTTAAAGCACCCATTTTCAACTTGTCTTTTCCAATTCTGCAGCACCTCTGTTGCTGTTTCTGTCAGTACAGTTACATTTTACACAGCATACAGATAGAGACTAGGTAAATGACTCAGATCAGGGCCAAAGACCTGTAAAAAATTCCCCCTCTCAGCTGTTAGTGCCAATGAACAAAGTTTCATAATCTCAGTCTAGTTTCTAGAAAGAATGTGCCCAGAGCACAAAGACAACCATCCCAAATAATATTAATTGGTCCCCCACTAATGATGTATATCAGGGCTAAGTACAGACAGTCAAAAAACCTGAGGCAGATTTAATCTAAATGTATTAAGTCTGATACTACATCCATCCAGGTTTATCTTAAACTGGTTTTGGTCATTTTGAAAGCAATTTATGTTCACTGAACTTCTGTTGTGTTACAGATTTGAACCAGTTTCCAATCACTTATACCGGTTTATGTCTAATTTCTGTCCCTAGCCCAATGGTAAAGTGTTGTCAAGCTTTTGTTGTAGCATCCAATAGTACAGACTCATAAATTAACAGACATCCTCAGTCTTGAGGAATGTAGGCCTAGCATCTTTTATAAGCATTACATTCTTTAAAAAAACAATTAGACCATGTACCAGCAATTTTCCTCTACACATTCTTCCATACCTAGCTAAAAAAAAGTGGTTAGAGGGATGGTACTCTCCTAATCCAACACAATATTCTTAAAAAGTCCCTAGTTCCACATTTATCTCATACATCTTTGAGTCCCTATACTTGGCAAAATAATGAGACCTGTGAAAATACAGTATGTGGTCTTAACTCCATAAAATATATATTCTTTAAAACACATCAGTCCTGAATATGTATTTACACAAGCCTAAATGGTGTTTACCTGAGAGGCCTAAATTGCTCCATATTTTATGCAAATATATTTACATAGCTCCTTTTAAACAATTTTTCTAATAGTAGTGAATGTTCAGGTTTGCTTTTTGAAACGTCTCTCTTTTATGTCAATAAGTTTTACTGACATAATTTTGTTTCCTTGTTTCACCAAAGACAACATAGCCTCTCAACAGAAATTTTCTGTTAATGCTACACCACAACACTACTAATAATTGACAGTCTTTTATACTCAATTGGAAAGGTCCATACACTGTAAATAATTATAAAAAATATTTTAAAGTGAGATAGAACATGACTGTAGATGTAACTGCACAAAAACCAGATACTATTCCAAAGCTTTTCCAATCATTATTGTTCTGCTTTTGAAAAGAAGCAGAATGATGTATTCATATCTCACAGTAATAAGGAAATATGTTTTATTCCATCATTAACAAGGGAGGATGTTAAACAGCAACTATTAACCATTTCTATATCAAAAGGCCCATAACCTGCACTTAAGAGCATTAAAAGTAGGTGAAAGAATTCTCAGCCATTAATAAGGATTTTTAACACATTTTGAAACACCTGAGAGCCTAAAGAATGAACTCCAATTTATAAAAAGGGGTAATGGGATGATGCATAGTTGTAACCTAACATTGATCACAAGCAAAATCACAGAAAATCAGATAGATATAAGCTCTAATCAGGACAAGTTAAAGGTTAGTAGAATAATTAACACCAGTCAAACACTGAAATTATTGTTGATGAGATAAGGAGTTTGGTTAACAAGGGTGTGTCTACACATAGAAAGGAAGTTCTAAAGCATGGTGCCATAGCAATGTCACCTTATGCTGATGTGTAGACACGCCCCAAAGGTAACATCATAAACTTAGACTTCCGTAAGGCACAGACTTAGTCCTATGTGACATTCTGATAAAAAAATGTTAGCAGGTAGCCCATATTAATTGATTTGGAACTCCTTAATTACAGGTCTCAAAATTATTTTAAAATGGGGAACCATTTAAATCATGTTCTAATGAGGTCTGTCATGAACTGGGGGTTTGTGGGATGTCATGTAGGTTTTCTTGAATGTATTTTGCCAATGTGGCATTGGCAGTCTGTATGTATAGGTAATATCAAGGCAGATATAACTTTATCATCCTTATGCTTCTATGCATTGTAGTTTTGGATATAAAATGTACACAGCCAGGATTGCACAATATGACAATGACTTTCAAGTAACAAACAGTAAGTTTCTTTGGCACCTCAGAGAGACTCAAAGCCTGAATGGCTGAAGACCCTTAAGGCTAGGGACAGACATTACACATAAACCAGTTTAAGTAATCAGAAACTGGTTTAAACCTGCAAAAGAACAGATGTTCAGTGCACATAAACCAGTCTGAGAATGGCTGAAGACAGTTTGAAATAAACCTGGTTGAATGTAGTACCAGACTTTTAACTGATTTGGCTCAAACCAGTTTATGCAATGTCTGTCCCAGGCCCCTTGCTGGTTTAAATTAAATCAAACTCTCCCAGCATCCTGGCATGCTCTCTGGGCTGGGCGGGGCTCTCTGCTCCACAGCAGGGCTGGCCCCTCCCCTCTGCTCCCTGGCTGCAGCTTCAGCAGTCTCTGCAGGCGTTTGCCTCACTTCTGCTCCCTCCCCCACTCTCTGCTAAGCAGTAGGCCTGTGTGAAGCGGCTTGTATTCACTTCAGATTCGGCCAATTCGGGAACAGTGATTCAATTCGATGATTCGAATCACTGCCCCAAATTGATTCAGCTGCAGCTGAATTGGCCAAATCTCTGAATCAGCCCCATCCCCTGCTGGCTCTCAATGGCTGCCTGGCCTGCTCTCCCAGCTCTTAAAAAAAAAAAAAAGCAGCCCCCATTCACTGGTTGCTTTCAGGTGGGAGGGTGGGGGCCAATCCCTGCTGCCCCCCACTGCTCCATGCTGCATGGAGGACTCTGCCACAAGACCCCAGAAACCCCAAGGCTGCTACAGCAGCCAGTGAGTGTGGGGTGTTTTGTTTGTTTGTTTTTATAAAGAGTCAGGAGCTGGGGCAGGTGGGGCAGCCAGGGCGGGGGGGGGGTCTGTGAGAGTGGCTAAGTGTTGGGGGCCTCATGGCAGAGCCCTCTTCACAGCGTGGGGCAGTGTGGGTAGCAGGGATCACCCTCCCTGCTTGGCAGCAGCCGGTGAATGAGGGCTTTTAAAGAGCTGGGAGCTAGGGCCAAGCAGGGAGTCATGGCGGGGCACTGGGAAAGCAGGAGGGGGTCAAGAGCACTCAGGGGGACTGGGGGATCAGGCAGAGGATGGGGCCTGGCAGGGTTTCCTCCATGGTACCCTCCCCCCTCCTCCAGCCTCCTCTTCCCCCACCTCCTACTTACAAGCATGGAGTCCAGATCCAGCTCCCTGCTGCAGCCAGCAGGGGCTGCCTGCAGGGCTGTTTAGGAGGGGAGGATCCCTCTCTAATTACAGCATCCTACCAGGGCCTGGCCATGCTCCCCTTAGCTCAGCTCTGTGCAAGGAAAGGGAGGGCTGTCTAGCACCTCCCAGCTTCTAGCCTAAGCCACTGCAGGCATGTACCTGCATTTCTGGGATGTCTGTTTGGTTACAAAACTGATTTAGCCTAGCCAGATTAAACTAACATGCAAAGATTGAATCAATTCAGGATAAGGCTTTTTAAACGTCTGTCCCTAGCCAAAGTGCTCAGAGTCAGCATTTGACAGGTGTTTGTTGATTCAGCACCTTTGCTTACATGCTCTGAGGCATATAAACTCTGTCCTTACGTCAGTGATAAATTCACATTTTAAAAGGAAGGAGCCATAAGAATAACACCTACTTATTCAGATTACTGGGGAAACAGAAAGGCAGGATCTTTAGTATATTGGATTAGTGAATATCCATGTCTGAAAGGATGCACATATTCCCTTGGTCTTAATTAGATTTGGAAAGATTTTTTGCTTTGGCAAACATGCACCTTTGAGGGGGCAGGAAGTTATATACATAATAAGGTGGGCGCCCCAAGAATCAAATAAGTGATAGACATGAATAGCTAGACAGGAAATTGTATTTAAGCCTGCTTTGAGAGTAGGGTATTGACTTTAATTTTCCTGGGTACAGGGGAGGCTGTAGTCCCTCCTGTAGAGCCTGGGTAAAGGAAGCTGAGTAAAGCAAGGTGGTAGGAGAAATTGCAGGAGGCCCTAACCAAGAGATCACACAGAAAAGCTGCCTTCTATCTGTTGAAGCTTCCCAAGTACTGAATGCATCCTTGGATTTCAGATGCAGGGTTAAAAATAGGTTTTTGTACAGATATTTTCTTCTGCTTGTTTACTCTTATATCTCTCTGTGTATTTCCACTTATGATTACTAATTTCTTGTGCTTTTTATTTTTTTCCCTGATATATCCTTTTTGTTATCTTTTACATATGTATTGACCACACAGGCTTACCAGGAAAGGGGGGATCCATCTTTTCTGAGTGCACAATGGGACAAGGGTGTGATTCTTCTAGTCAGCAAAATCCCCTCTGCTCAGAGGTGGCAAGGCCACAGAGAGACAGGTAAGGGTGAGATGCCACAAGCCAAGGAGTTGGCTCCTGGCACATCTCAGCTGGTTCTCAGTGGCCAAGCACTGAGGGGAGGGTTTTGGAGCAGAATGGCACCCCAAGTGCGTGGGAGTGCCCCAGGAGTCTCAAAGGCCTACCCAGGCATGTCTGGAGTTGGGGCACATCACAGAGTCCCACATGGATTTTCTCTTTAAAATGTGTTTATGGAGTACCTGTGCTTAAACTTGCTGCGGTTTAAAAAAAAAAGGTAAAATACATCAATTCTGGATGAACTTAATCTATTGGTACTGTATAAAAATTATTATATCTATGGTTATTTCAGTCACTATTTTCAAATTTACTTCTCACTTCCATATGCTCAGGGACAGCAGGGTCTGACAGTAAAGAGAAGGGGAAAGGGCTACAGGGGAAAGAAGTTGGGGTGAGGGAGAAGGCAAAGAGGCTACCTGACTCCCCACACACAGTGGACATGTCTACATGTACATATTAATGCTATGTAATAAACTCTGGTGAATATCATGCCATAGTTTATTACTCCCCAGGTGCCATGTTTACATGTGTACCTGGGACCACAGCACACTGAACCATGTCAGAGCAGTCCTGGCTGGCAGGGAGCCTGGGGGGTCAGCCTGCCAGCCTGGGGCTGCTCTGACCTGGGTCAACCAGCTACAGAGGGACTGGCTGGGGCACAAGAATGCTCCAGTGTGTGGCTAGTCAGCAGGCAGCCCCTGCACTGAAGCACCTCATGCCCCAGCCAGCCATATAAGTGTCTACATGTGTGATGCTGCGGAGTAAAAAAATCTGTAGCAGGACTGTACTTGTATTTACAAGTACTATCCTGCTGTAGATTTTATTAGTTTACTCCAGCCTAATAGGTCTGCACATGTAGACACTGAGACATTTACTGTGGAGTTAATTACGCAACTGTATAAATGTCTTGTGTAGACATGCCCAGAGTACACCATTCTTCAAATACTGTTTATTTTTTAAGGGCTTCTATAGGACTAACAAGAATAAAGCTGTAACAAGTGCAGATCCCTCTAGATCTTATATTCAGCTTGGTGCTAAATATAGTTGTACCAGTGGTCATGGATGGGAGGCCAGGCTTTACCTCAGTTCATAGGACCATGTGGGATGGATGCCTTCATTAAACTATAGCTCAACAAACAAAACATAAAACATTTCTTCATTTACTTCTGCAAAGACCAGGGAAGACACAGTACTCTGACAACTTTTTCTGCCTCTCTGAAAATATTTTTCCATGTAATACCACAAGTCCAGTCCATCTGATATTGTCACCGCTTTGCTAAGATAAGCTAAAATTGGAATATATTAAAGATAGTATAATTTCATGTTTCCTATATTCACTGCAGACCTTTTTATATCAACTAACCAATAATGTGTGGTGACTGAGGACTTCAAAGCTTATAGTGGGGTTCTTCACTAAAAAGTAACCGGGTAGAATATTTAATCCACTGATTTCCTGCATTTGTGTTCAGTCAGAACTGCTTATCTTTTATTGCTTTATTAAAGATGTATTCCATTTCACTTCTGTTAGCTAAAGGGCAGTGAGCTGGACTCCATTCTGACTTGTACATTAGGTAAGAATTGTTTATTGAACAATTCATGGCAAAATCCATATTGTTAGTAGTGATGATATACAAGCCAAGAAAATGCCACACACAGGGTTATTTTTAAAAGTGTAAGCACACTTTAAAATGGTTTGGAGCCATCTTCAAAATTCCTTTCCACAATTTTTATCAGCTCATGATTTGCGTGCTACCATCAGAAATCAGCCTTAAAGGATACAAGAGAGTCACCCAGTGTAGACAAAACTCTAAGTGGTTCAGTGAAACTGACTTCTGTCTTCCATGCCATGGGCATACATGGGAAAGAGCATGTGGACGAGAAGCTTCTACATGCCAGCTATCCCTGTTTGCCAGAATGACACCTTGGGCTGTGAACAACCTGCCATTAGATATTCTGATTTAGAGAAGGGACTTGATTGGTTCTAACCCCAGACTATTGGTCTGGGCAGATGGCTAAAAGCTATTTTACCACAAGATGGCTAACCATCTCTCCCTTGATTTACAACACATGAAATCAGAGAAGCTGGGACCAGTATTTCAAACAAGTCATGGATCCATACACTGATTGGAAATGTAAACCAGCACACAAGCACTTTGGTATCCCAGCAATCTATAAATTAGTACAATATGGAACAAATCATAATGATCTTATACAAACCATCTACTGGCTTATTTTATTGCTCACTGCAAAACAGTTGCTCAACAATACAGACAGCTTCTATTGCAACACCCTTGTTTTTATTCTTTTCCTTATCTTTTTTATGCAAACATTGAGGATTAGTCAGAAGAAATACAAAAAGTAATATTAGTTTGAAGACTCTAAAGCCAAAGTAGTCTTTTGAGATGGATCTTAAAAATTAAGCCAATTCTAGTGTATTCCACACCACCCATGATGACATTTAAAACTAACAAAACAAACAAACTAAACATATCTTGTACTTGTTCCATGACAAAAGGTCTTCTTTGGTTTGTACTCAGAGTACATTTATGAATGAGAAGGTGCTACTCTTCTCAGTGAATTTTACACAATACTTATAGAACTGCATCTTTAAGACAGTTATTCATCTAGCAGCCTACTTCTTTTATAAATCAATGATTCATTATTTTATGTGGCGTGCTACAAATGAGCAGAGTCCTACAATTTCAGTTTTCCAGATTTGTAGCTCTGCAGATTGAAGTTTTGTAATTCATGGAAGAGTTATAAAATATATTTTGTTAAAATCCAAGCTTTACATACCATCAAGGCCATTATGATGGCTGTAGTTTCTCTTCCCCAAAATACTTAAGGATGAATGATTAGAAGTTGCAAGCATTCGTTTTGCACCTGGGCTCTGAAGGCTCGGCATTGATCTGATTACATTAGGTTTTATTGCAGGATGAATCTCTATTAAAAAAAAAGGAGAGAGAGAGAGAAAGAATAAATACTGCATTCAAAAACCTTTTGTTTAACCTCTTTTTATCCACTAAATATACATTTAATTTTTCTAATGAACTGAAAGTCAATTTCTTCAGACTACTAGCATGTTTCCAAGGCCTTGCATAATGAATGAATCAATCTTTGTTATCATGGTTCTCCCTAATATGAAAAATCTGGTTCACCCAGGTCTGCCTGAAGTAAGTGCCATGACTGATTAAATGTGTGGGTTTAGAAGGTGGGTAAAAGACACCACAACAAATAAATCTGAAGTCAGTTTATGCTGAACAAAAATCATTAGTCCTCAATGCCAGAGTTAAATACAAGATAACAGCTACTCGTGTGTGTGTGTGTGTGTGTGTGTGTGTGCGCGCGCGCGCGTTTGTGCGTGTGTGTTTTCTACTACAAGCAGGGCTGGTGGCACCATCTGTTACTAAGATTGGCCAGCACTCCCTACTATAAAATCCTGTTTTCAGTTGCTTGCATTTTTACCAAATTTGAATTTTTTGGGATGAAATTATGGTATCAGCTTGCCCCAGGTTTAACTCTTTTGGAAAATCTCAGTGAAAATAGTTCTGAGAAAGAGGCAAGTAAAAACATGGTAATGTTGCTATGCTTTGTTTGAAGTTATAGCAATCACATGCTTTGGATCAGAGGCATAAAATTTAGCTAGAGAAATGGCTTGTGTCAGAAATGTGCCCGGTGCAAAACAACTCCAATTTGGCCAAGTTATGAGCTTTTGATCACAGCCCACACATGCCCAGTAGAGACACTTTAGCACTCTGCTGACAAGAATCATATCATTTAGTTATGGGATCCAGGCAGCTTTTGGATACAGATGGTCTTGAAGTCCTATAATCCTTGGGACAGGTGTGGCTAACCCCAAGCTGCAAACCATGGAAGCCTGCCCCAGGCTAAAGCTAAGATTCCTTGAGATTCCCAAGCACCCGGCTACAGAGCAAGGAAGCAGGACTCTATAAAGAACTGAACCTCTCAGCACTTCCAAACTCCCAGTCTCCGACCCCAGCACAGTCCACATAGCAGGGCTGCCCCAGAGCTCGCATTCTAGGCTTCCTGGCAGCCCACAGGTGAGCAGACAAGCATTTCCATCAAAGCCTGTCTGTTGCTCATTAAAAGTGTGTTCCCCCAATGCATTTCCATGAAACACACAGCAGAGCAGTATTTTCTGGTTAAATACTTTTGTATTGGAAAAATCTGCATTAGATCCTTCTTTAGAGGAGTGTTTTAAAAGCATACACAAAGCCATCTTCTGTATAAAATTCCAGGAGTAACACAGCAGAAGTCATGAATATACCAACCCTGCCCCAGGACCCATGCAGACAGTGATAAAGAGCTTTTTACAAATATTAGTAAGCAGGTACGTTAGATGAGCAGTCCTACTCAAGTCAAAGAACTGCTCATCATTGTGAGTGAAGGGATTCTCACTCTGGCCAAAATTAGACAGGAAATGAAATGTTATTCGATCCTGTGTAGGTACCATGTCATCTTTAACACAGAACAAGCCAGAACTAAATAGTTCCACTGAGTAAGCTGACATCTGCTCAGTGGGGCAAGCCTAGTCTGCTTCTGTTTCCCAAAGGATAAAAAGTAAACTCTGGAGATCCTGTGTGTGCATGACAAGATAGCAGTCAGGAGAATTGCTTAGGATAAGGAGGGATGAGGAAGTGGAAGGGAAAAGAAAGATGTAGAGAACTCAAATTTTTGTAATTTATATCCCTATTTTACACCCACTGAAGTCAACACATTTTTGTTCATTTCTGTTAAATAACTGAAAGTATATGGCAAATTGTAATCTCAGACAATATACCTGAAATCGGGATTGCACCTTGGATCTCTCATTGATTGTTCCATGAAACAGAAAACCTTCTGCTGCCCACCAAAAATGGACAATAATGTATGAAAGCCTTCTAAAAGCTAGGCCAATTTGAAACCTCCATGCCTTAAATGTTAAATGGCTACCAAACAAACCTCTGTACTTCAAAACTGGGGGAAAAACTACAGTCTTTGAATGATCCTGTGCAGTGATGCTGCTCAGCCTCCAGCCAGTGGACTGAATCTAGCCCATGGGGCTGTCATCAGGCCTGTGGGCTTTCCTGCAGGTCCAGAAATTTTGTGATAAGGGAGCAGTGACACCATTAATTGCCACAGTTCTGGGAGCTGCAGCAATTAAGGATGTCACTGCTCCCCTGCCCCCAAATTCCCAGACCCATGGGGAGCCTTGAATACTGGATCATGCCAGTGCATATCGTTGCTCCGTGGCTGGAACTGATGCATGGAGTTGGACTAGCACAGAACAGGGCCCTGCAGCTGGAACAAGCATACAAGGCGCTGCCTACGTGCTGGTTTGTGCCCACAGACTGACCTTGCACACTCACTCCACACTGGATCCAGCCTGCAGACCAACCTCGCACCACCCATGCAGCCCAGAAGGTCAAGCAGCACTGATCTTGTGGACACAGCTTTATTGTCAGCATAACCATTATAACAGCAGATAAAAGAAGGCAACACACTTGATAGCAGAGGTGTACCTAGCTATTTCTGCTCTCTAGGCAGGGCTTGGGGTGGGTAGGGTTGTGCTGAGTTCAGGAGAGTTGGAGGGGGCAGAATCTTGCCTGTTACAATGCATACTCACCCAGGGCCTGGAGACAGCTGCTGGGGGTAGGAAGCACCCAGTTCCTTCCTCAGCCTCCCTCACATGGGAGCCATTGCATTAACCCTCCCACAGCTTCCACCAGCTTGTATGTGGAATGACACTGTCAAAGTCTTAATTCTGCAGAGGCTGAGAGAGGGTTAATGCAGCAGCCATTGGCTGCATAGCAGGGGAAATGGGGTGAGGCTGAAAAGGGGATTCCTACCTTCAGTCTGGACCGGCCCTAGGAACACCTGTGCCATGAATAGCCCCCTGCCACCACTGCTCTAATGCTCATGACCTCCATTCTGGAGCCCCCTCTTGCTCCAGGCATCTACCTATATCTACACTACTGGTTGAAAGCATCCATAAGCCATCAGAAATTAGTATTATAGCTTTTGAGAGTTTTCATAAAAAGTGCCTCACAAATCTCCAGCAGCTCAGAGTAAATACTAGCTCCTAAGTATACAGTACCAGACCAGAGATGAAACTAGCTATTTTTATGATTGAAAAAAAGCTTGATTGTAAACCAGTGATCCTAATCCTAGGGTGAAATTATACTCTTAGGGTGCTTATACAAGTGCAGTGAGGCTGCTCCAACATGCTGCAAGTACAGCACATTGGAGCAGACTCAATTAACCACGTCGGCTGGAGCACAGTAATTACTGTGCTCCAGCAGACTCCAGCGTCACGTGCATCAGTGTCCCCTCACTGAAAAATGGCAGCAGGGGACGAGCTTTAGTTAAAATGCCCCCACCGGCATTTTTCAGCGCAGTGACACTGATACATGTGACGCTCCAGGTGCTTTAATTAGAGCAGCTCTCAGAGCCATTCTAATTAAAAGACCTTCCCTCGCCAATCCTGGAGCACATGTATAAATGCCCTTCACCAACTTACATTCGATTCAAGGAGCTGCAAATAAGTTTAAATAAAATACAGAGGTAACTAAACAATAGGCAAAAGACATCTGTCACTCACTACCAGAGATGAGGATTTTGATAGCCAGATATTATATCTGCTATCCACAATCAGATAAAACTAGACAATTTAGTTGTTTATTCAAAACTGTAATACAAGATAATATCTATTTTTATGACTGTTGTGAAGGCAAGGCAACTCTGACTTTGTGCCAACTCTATTCATAGTTGGTTTAGTTTAGAAATTATTGCTTCATTTCAGCCTTATAGTATCTATGTATGTATCTACCCCTCCCACTCCTGTGTAATATAGGTTGGCAAATGCCAAGTTCCTAATAGATTTCATGGATTTTCTGTTGCCACTCCTTTTTCAGACTGTGGAAAGCAATGCTTTATTGCTTGGAATAAAGTTTTGTGTTTTTTAAAAGATGGGGAGTGAACTGTAACAAAATAGAAAGGTAAGTTTGTAGCTTTTCCTAAATTAGGTAAGACTGCACTTTCCAACGCTCGTTCAGCCTACGCTTTTCAACCCTCAGAGGAGAAAATTCTTGAACCAGGTCTGGATTTTTCATCAAGGGCCAACAAAACATTTTCCTGCTATGTCATGGGACAAATTATGGACTGATCTCTGTAACCCTGCTGTTATGCATTGCATCTTTCTCCACCGAAACAGCTATTCACCCCGCTCCCTACTTTCACTGATTTACAGAAGTAAATTTCACAGTAGGATGCAGGTCACTTGCATAATGGTGTAGCCCCTAATCGGCAGGCTGAGTTTCACTTTACAATACCAGTCAGAAATCAAAATAAAAATAGTAAACGAAAAACAGGAAATTATATGTTAAGTACATATTAAAGGCATTTAAGCTGTGCTAATGCCTTGAGACCAACTAGGTTGGAGTCCCATTAGGCCAAGTGAGGTATAAACATATAGTAAGTGGCAATCCATACTCATAGGACCTTATTTATCTGAAGTAAAACGGCTGAAGAAAAATAAAATGCCAAGACAGGGAAATAAATTACAGCCAATTCTCCCACTCCTCTCAATTCAGCTCCCTCAGCTGGCCCAGCTCAGACAAGTGGTAAAGCAGCAGTGCACTACTTAGAGGTAATACAGGGCAACCAAATAGTTAAGATTTGCTTCAACTCTTTTTGCTTCTTAAATATGACAAAAACTAAAATGATTATGGATGACTTAACCCTGCTGTGTCTGTGGAATGGGGAAGATCTACCTTTAATATTAATCTAGCTCTCCTGTGGAACTGGCTTCTTACATTAGGTAAGAATTGAGATAACTGAGAAAAGGGATAACTGAGAAATGACTCAGTATGAGTGGGTGGGTGAAAACATTTTTAACCTTTGTGACCTTCTTATAAGTAGGAATGAAGAGGAACCGTGATCTC